CGTGGCAAAGAACTGGAACTGGAACTAGGAATGGAATAGAATAGAATGGCATGGCATGGCATGGAGTGGCAAAGAACTGGAACTGGAACTAGGAATGGAATGGAGTGGAGTAGAGTAGGATGGCATAGCATGGCATGGCATGGCACAGAACTGGAACTAGGAATGAAATGGAATGGAATGGAGTGGAGTGGAGTGGAGTGGAGTGGAGTGGAGTGGAGTGGCATGGCATGGCTAGGAATGGAACTGGAACTGGAACTAGGAATGGAATGGAATAGAGTAGCGTAGGATGGCATGGAATGGCATGGACCTGGAACTAGGAATGGAATAGAATGGAATGGAGTGGAGTGGAGTGGAGTTGAGTGGCGTGGCACGGCACGGCATGGCATGGCTAGGAATGGAACTAGAACTAGAAATGGAGTGGAATGGAGTGGAATAGGATGGCATGGCATGGCATGGCATGGCACAGAAGTTGAACTAGGAATGGAATAGAATAGAATGGAATGGAATAGAGTAGAGTAGGATGGCATGGCATGGCATGGCATGGCATGGCACGGACCAGGAACTAGGAATGGCATGGAATGGAATGGAGTGGAGTGAAGTGGTGTGGCATGGCATGGCATGGCATGGCATGGCAAGGAATGGAACTGGAACTAGGAATGGAGTGGAATGGAGTAGAGTAGAGTAGAGTAGAGTAGAGTAGAGTAGAGTAGAGTAGAGTAGAGTAGAATAGAATAGAATAGAATAGAATAGAATAGAATAGAATAGAATAGAATTCTTTATTGGACAAGTGTGATTGGACACACAAGGAATTTGTCTCCAGTATGTAAGCTCTCATTGTACATACAGAAAACAAAGTGATAGGTTATGCATCATAGATCGTAGTTACAAACATTAATCATAAGATGCAGCAACATGTGATAAATCATAGATACCAATAAAAATAAGAACTAGCAAGTATGATTGTGCTGAACCTCCTCCTCTCCTTTTCCTCCTCCTCCTCCTCCCCCTCCTCCTCCCCCTCCTCCTCTTTATGGCACACAACATGATAATATAAACAGCTAAGACTTTAGTTTTCATCAGATATCTGAAATACTTCCTGAAGTTAAAAAGAATCTATTTTCTCCTTAATTTTTTAAAATATCATTTTATATTTGTTCCCTCTTATCCAGAGACCTTTTCAAATTTCATATCAGTATCATAAATATCTCATGAGGTTAATGG